TGCTTGACTGCCCGGATGGCCATGTTGCCATTTATCTTAAGCACTTTGATTTCGGCCTTCGGTTCCCTCTTCATCCTTTTGTGGCCAAAATTTTAAAGGCCTGGAACGTTTGCCTTGTACAGCTAACTGTAGACACCCATTTGTGTCTCCCCAAAACCAAACCCAGTGATGAGTACCTTTCGCGTCGAATCATAATCGAATGAAGTGAAAGTGTGGAAAGTCTAGTGTTGCGGATAAGTTTTAATTTCTTTTCTCTTCTCTCTGTTTTTGAAAACTTATTTTAAGAAAACAGCCAATCCAGTTTGTTTGGTCCATGATATGGGTCCAATAGTAGTGTAGTTGTATGGGGCTTCACAAGAGCTTTCCAACGATATATTATATGCCCAATTCCGATGAATATTGAGGAAGTTATGGCCAATTTACTAAACTGGGCCCGGTTTGAGCCTTATATGCGGCCCAATGATCTAGGGGAGGGCCTAATAGATTTATCATTCCTAATGCAATTAGGAATGGTTTTAGTCTTCTAGATTCTTCTAGAAGGTTCTTTTCATTCCTAATTCAATTAGCATTGATAATTTGACTTTTGTTGACTTTTCAGAGTTTTAATTAAAATCAAATAGCATTTTTGAGGAAAATATACGATTTTATCCTCCAGTACGACAAACTTATCTGATTTTCGAAAACGCGTCCAAAACAGGCCTAGCGCCTGACTCCAGGCATTGGCGCTTGGCGCCATTTAGCTGGTTCTGGCGCCAGCTCTGTTTTGCGTGCGCCAACCTCGTTTTGCGTGCGCCAAGTGCTCTGTTTTGATATTTTATCTTTTAGGCTGATTTCTCTATAAATAACGTATTAAAACTCCGTTTTCATTCACCAATTCTCACCTACAATCAGTTTTCATTCGCAATCATTAATTCTCTCTTAATTCATTCATCTCTTCATCTTTCTCTTTTTCTAAACTTGCTTTTACATACAAAATTCCGCACACAAGATCTAGAAACACCTAGCAATATTCGAAGTTGCCTTCGCCCTAGACGTGAAAGGTTTAATTTATGAGGGTTTGGTCCCAAATCTCTCTTTCAATTATTTAATTTAATTATTTGATTTATTATTTTCTTTGAAGTTACTAACGTGTGTATTTTGTAATTAAAAAGAGGTACGAGACATCAAAGTAAGTACTTTAATGGTTTTAATTGATATTATGATGTAGAAATCATGTTTAAATTGTTATTATGATATTCCTAGTATCATGTCTAGGATAATTTTAATATTAAATATGATTGTTGCGATGCTTCATATTCTCTTCCTAATATTTATGATTGTTAGTATCATGTTTGGGCTAAAGATTTGATTTTTATTGCTTAGTGACATGCTAAGGTTTGTTATCAATCTTGTTAGTATCATGCCTAGGATCTTGCTATTTTCATTATGCTTTAACATGAATATTATGATTATGATTATTATAATTATTGTTATGATGATTATTTTGATTGTTATAATTATTGTGATGAATATTATTATTATGATTATTTTGATGATTATAATTATTATTCATGATATTTATACTTTGGTTATTATGTTGCTTGATATTTATTGTTATTGCTTGATCACGCCTTTTATGCATGTCTAAAGGGAATTGGTACTTGTAATCATGCTTAATAAGATATTTAATAATCTTGTTAGGGTTAATGTGATTATAATTCAAGTGATCGCCAATAATAGTTTATTTGTGCATTATATTCAACCAACATAGATAAACAGGTTTAGGGCTTAACCTATTGATTGTATGTTAATTAAAAAGCGCACATGAATACGATCTGAACAAAGTAGAGGCCTATTATTAGGGCAGGTTCAATCTCTTTTAGGTTGGATTTGTACCTTCATCCCCGAACCCTTATTTGGTTCTAGACCTTATGGAGTTGACGATCTCTTGGATCGTTAAGGGGTGTAACCTTCACCATGTGAACGGTTTACAAGTTCCTAAAACTTGTTGGCGACTCTTTTGCTCTATCTTCTTCCCTTTTGGACGCCACCGTACTTTAGTGTATGATCACAGTGGGGTTCAAGTTTGGGGTTTAACGCTTGAATTTATTCCCTACACTAACCCCTCCCACCATCCGTGCCGTTATTTCCCTTATTTGGGTTCTGCTTCATAGAAACTATCCGCTTACCCTTAATGCATTCAGGCGGCTGTTAACTTTAAAGAGAGATGGCTAATCGGATGGGTGGTGGTGTTTATATACCCAACCTCACAAATACACCGTTCACCCTAAGTTATCAAGCTGCAAAGGATGGTAAGACAAGTTCTTTTTTATGTCGGTTCCCGATGATTTCCCACTCGGGAGGACATTCTTTCGGCCCCATCCAAGGTTTGAATCTATTCCCGAGAGAAATCTTGGCAAACACGAGCGTAGGGCCGGCAAGAGGGTTATCAGACGTTGTCCTAAAGCTACTAAACCTTTGTACGACACTCTTGCTACTCACTGTAGTCGTGCTCCGACCGTCGGTGCCAAAAGAAAAGCTGAGAATATGGCTGATGAGAATGCTAAGAAAAGGAAGCTAACCTCTCTTGCCAATCGCCGGGGTAGTTTTCCCAGGTCTGGCGTTACTTGGCAACCTGAAGATCGCAGCAAGAAGAGTCAGGCCGAGAACAAGGATAAACCTCCTTCTCCAAGGGTTCAGGTGAAAACGATTGTTCAGAGTTCTGAACCAATCATCAAAAAAGTGGTTGATGGAATTGATGTTGAGGATCTTACCAACATTGAATCTCCTACCCCAGCTCAACCTAACATACCGGACCAAACAACTGCTCATAATGTTACCACTACTGCTGGTGGTTCCGACACAAGCGCTCCTGATCTTATCTATCAATCCAATCAATGGATCGAGCGTCCCAATGAGAGGATACTGGAGGTTTTTCTCAAAGGATTCTCTGTCCCTCCCGGTCATTCTGGGGACAAATGGCAACCTACCATTGACGTATATCGGAATGAATCAATGTTTACCGATGACCCTATGCTTGGTGGAACTCTTGGCTATCGTCTTTTAAGCAACTTGACCCTCCCAATGGATAGGCCTGCTGGTGTCATCGGCCCTTTGGCTGCTATGCACATGCATAACATGATGAAGGTTCTCGCCCTTTAACATTGTAGCCTTTATTATATTTTGATATATATATATATATATATATATATATATATATATATATATATATATATATATATATATATTTTTACTAACTTTTTGCCTTTATTACTACACAGGCTGTTATGTGTGGCACTGAGCTTGTTGAAATGTACCGTTATTACCAAGAACAGCACCATCAAGCCTCTGCTAGCCAAAACGCACTTCAAACAGCCCTGGATAACGCTGATAAGGCTCTGCAAAACTTAAATGAGGCAAAAGAAAGAGATGATCTTGAGATGTCATCTCTCAGGGATAGAGCTTCTAAGGTTGGGGATCTTGAGTTGGAAGTTCAGCAACTAAAGACTCAAATTACTGAGAAGAACAAAGTTATCAGCCGCGTTCCTACTCTTGAGAAGGATCTCGAGGCTGCCAAGGCTTGCGTTCGTGATCTTGAAGAAAAAGTCAAAAAATTGGAGGCTGATAAGCCTGGAGTCCGGCAAAGGGCAGTTATACGCTTCTTGACATCTCAAGAGTTTTGCACACGACTTCAGAACCGTTTTGACGGGGATGGACTGCTGCCCAAAGATGTATCGCCCATGCTGTCGGATGGAAGAAAGAGGATTGGATTGCCGTTGAAAAGGCCTTTAACGAAGAAGTTTTCAAGATTCCATATGGTTTTGAGGAGCAAGAGTTTGTAGACGAAGATCTTTTCAACCTTGCTCCAGCAGACGATGAGGGTATTTCAGATCCCAACATCTTGGATTCTCCAGCTTTCGGCGGTACACAAGCTTAAAGGGGCGGGCAGTCATCACCGGCATCTTCTTGCGGGTCTTGCGTTTTTGGGCCTTATCAGCTTTGACTTAAATCCTGTATTTATTTGCTTTTGTTGGACTTTGTATCTGTAATGCTGTTATATCGGCATATGCCCTTTTTTGTGGTGATGCCTGTCGACTGTTGCGTCTAACCTCTTTGATCATTTTATATCAATCTGAACATGTCACATTTATTTTTAAAATTTTTTCTTAACTGACCTTCCTAATATGTCATGCACTTTTGCATTTGCCTTATCGTCTTTAAATAATTTTTATCAGCTATCATCTTTCTTTTTATATCTGCTTCACCGCCTTATGACTACCAGATTTTTACTATTGATTTTATTACTTATCAGCCATTTTACCAGAGCTGAAGACAAACTTATACATTTAAAAATAATTCAAGCACAAACTTATACGCAGATGCTATATCCATTCTACCCCCACAGTGTATATGGTTAAGAAATAACTATATACACTTGTTGTTGGTTCATTGCATAGCTTTGATCACTTACTGCGCTATAGTTGTAGCCAGTGAAGTATCCTCTCGGCGATCGTATTCAAAGCTATGCTTCAATTCAGCATATACTTGAATCGATTTAACCGGTATTATACATTGAACCAGCAACCTCGCGAATCAATGTTTATAACTGATCAGGTTATAAGCTTATTGACTTCAGGGAAGTGGTTTTTAGCTGTCCATCCTACATAAGATATTATGTTAAGTAGAGGATGCCTATATCATGAAAAATTTTCTTCGAAACTGCTTGCATTTATTGTTAATACTTTCTGAATGCTTAACATTGTTTATCTTTCTAAGTACAACACATTACTCAAAATATTTCTTTAATACAGCTGTGTTTCAAACATTCTTTAATGGCTTTCCATCCATTGTTTCTAAGAAATATGAACCCTGCATTATCATATCTCTAATACGATAAGGTCCTTACCAATTTGCCGTCAACTTTCCGTCTTCATTCCCTTTCCCGGTTGCAGCTGTTCTTCGTAGTACAAGGTCTCCTACAGCAAGAGGCCGATGATTGACGCGCTTGTTGTAAGCCCTTATCATTCTGTTTTTATAGGCAGTGATCTAATTAATGCTTTTTCACGCAATTCTGGTAGAAAATCTAATTGTTGACGTAATAAAAGATCGTTCTGCTCTTCACAGTAGTGTTGAATTCTAAATGTTGGCAACCCTACCTCTGCCGGCACTACTGGTTCTGTTCCAAAAACCAATGTGAAAGGCGATTCACCCGTTGCCTCTTTGGCCGTTGTTCTATTAGCCCATAATATTTCTGGCACCAGGTCAGCCCATAGTCCCTTTGCATCTTCTATCTTCTTCTTAATTGCCTTTATTATTTGTTTATTAGCTTCTTCAGCCTGTCCATTCGATTGCGGATGACACACCGCTGCATATGCAAACTTAACCTTGTACATTGATAGGAGCTCTTTTACCGGCTTACAATCAAACTGAGATCCATGGTAAAAAACCATGGCCATCGGCAATCCAAACCTTGTGAAAATGTTTTTCCAAATGTATTTTTTCACCTCTGCTGCTGTTATCTTTGCTACCGGCTCAGCTTCAATCCATTTTGTGAAATAATCTACAGCCACCAATAAAAATTTCCTACCGCCTGTTGCTGATAGAAATGACCCTACTGTATCCATTCCCCATTGTGCAAAAGGAATTGGATTTAATATCGGTGTTAAATCATTTGGTGGTAGGTTGATAGCTGGAGCGAACTTTTGGCATTTTTCACACGCTTTCACATATCGTACCGCATCTTCATTCATGGTCGGCCAGTAGTAGCCTCTCCTCATTGCTTCTCTTGATAGAAATCTCGGTCCGAGGTGATTGCCACATGTACCCTCATGTATTTCTTCAACCAACCTTTTCGACTCAAGGTTACTTATGCATCTCATCAATGGTAATGAAAAGCTTCTTTTGTAAAACTGTCCTTGATGCATAATGAACCATACACTATCCTTTTGCAACTTTCGTGATTCTCCCTTATCTGCCGGTAGCACCCCATGGACGAGATATGCTAGTATGTTATCATACCACTGGGTAACACTATCAACACAAAGCACCTGTTCTGGTGCTTCATCTATACTCTTCTCACCCAAAATCTTAACCATCACAGTTCTTTCTAAGTTATTAAAACTCGAACTTGCCAACCTTGCTAAAGCATCTGCTTGCGCATTCTGGGCTCTCGACACAAGCTTTATTTCAAAATACCGTAGTTGTGCCGTCAATTGATTTATCTTTTCTAGGTATTTAACCATTGATGGCTCTCGTGTCTCATACTCCGCACTGTACTGACTTGACACGAGTTGGGAATCAGTTGTCAGCACTAAACGCTTTGCCTCGGCTGCAACAGATAACTGAATTCCTGCCACCGCTGCTTCATACTCAGCTTCGTTGTTTGTTGCCTTGAATTTAAATTTTACTGCATACTCAAAGATCTGGCCATCTGGAGACGTTATGACTATGCCAGCCCCTGATCCTATTGATGTCGCGGATTCATCCACAGATACCTGTGACATTATATGTTGGCAACAATAAACATGTCATAAGCTAAATATGTATTTGATTGCTCTGTATATAAAAAGAAGAGAAAACACCAAAAACTTTATTAAATTTTGGTCATTAAATTACAAACTATTGAAACCTGCCAAGTGCCTATATCTTCTTCTTCTTCTGTATATGAAGCCTCTACTATGAAGTCATACAAGGCCTTTGCCTTTATTAATACCCTGGGCTTATAATGTATCTCATAATCCGATAATTCCACAGCCCATTTTAGCAATCTTCCTGACGTATCCATCTTGTGCAATGATTTTTCCAATGGATAATTCGTTTGAACATCTATCGGATGTGCATCAAAGTAGGGCCTTAACTTCCTTGCCACAACCACTACTGCCAATGCTATTTTCTCAATGTCTATTTTATACAGTATTTTACCCCCGTCCCTTGGTCATAATTAGTAGTGTTTTTGGCTCTTTAGAGCCACTTTTATTACTAATTGGTGTTTTCTAGTGTTTTCGTAGATTTGGTTGACTTTTGCAGGGATTTATGCTTTTGGAGTATTTTCCCGAGATATTTTGGAGCAATCACGAACATTGGAGAAGCACGACCAGATTCTATAGCCCAAGGCCGGTTAGAGCCATCGAACCGGTGATTAAGGGCTCGGTATAGGTGATACTGGGGCATTTGGACCGAGTATTCAAGACCGGAAGAGGAAACCCAGATTGGCCCGAAGAATTGGAGCCCAATTGTAGTCCAAATAGTGGCCCAAATGAGCCGCCCGGCCAAAGAGGCTAGCGCCCGGAGGCGCGCCTGGCCGGGCGGGAGATGCTTAGGTTAGCGCCCAGTGACGCGCCCGGTCGGGCTCGAGATTATTATTATGAGCAAAATGACGCGCCCGATCGGGCGCGTGTATCTCTTAGGAGACGATTAGCGTCGTTTTAATTTGTTTTAGTTTAGGATTTTGTACAGAGTATAAATACTCCTCCGTAGTATGATTTTAGCATCCCTTCTTCTCTCTTTTTACTCTTTCTTTACTCTCTTAATTGTTCAGCTCTTAGATTTTCTTTCTCAAAAACCTTTGTTCTTAATTCTACTCTTAATTCCAGATTTATTTTGGTAACGATTTCTCTTCTCTTAATCTTAGTTATTTACTTTATTCTTTTTATCATGTCTTGATTTATTTCTTTGATTAGTTTAATTTCCACTATGTGTGAGTAGTTTACTTTCTAGGGTTTGTGGGGATCCATAAATAATATGAAGGGGTAATTTATTGTTGTTAATTATCAATGCTAGATTAATTTCCTATTGATTGAATTAATGCTCTGTGACTAGATTAGGCCTGATCTTTTATGCATGAGTTTAACAATATTGATTCGAGATTCAACAGATGAGAATTAATGTTTAGGTCTAGTTTCAATAGGCAGGTTAATTTATAAATGGTTAATTCGAGATTCGAAAGATGAGATTTAATATCGGTAAATTAATTGTGTGATTATAATACGCAGCGAAAGCCCTTTATAATCTGATTGATGTATGCATTGATGAATGATTATTATATTCTACCCTGGAATATTATTTATTGGTGAACCTATGCCCTAGATCCTTTTATATATTGTTTTCTCCCTATTCTTAACTTTCGTAGTTTAGTTTCATATTCAACTTATATATTGGTTACCTAATAATCTAGATTATTTTAGTTAATTAGGAATAGAAAGACTCGTTTCTCTGTGGATTCGACCCTACTTCCCTATCTACATTAGTTAGAGGATTTAGGTATTACTTTTGATTTGGGGATACGACTTTACCCTGTTAAAATTTAGCGTCGTTGCCGGGGAAACGGTTCTATTTTTATTTCAGATTGTTTTTGTAGTCTAGATTATTTCCCTTTTGTCTCAGAGAGCGTTAGTTCTCTAAGACAATTCTCATATTTGCTTCTAGTTTTTGTTTATGCCCAGGTGTTCCAGATCAGGTTACATCCCATTCGATCCTGAGATCGAACGTTCCTTCCATAGACAGAAAAATTTCTACAAGCAAATCCTGGCGGATTCTGGTGATAATAACAATAATCACCGCGATCCTCCAACTGGTTCTAGCGATTCAGAGACATCATCAGACGCAGAATCAGAGATGACGACTCCAAAGAAGCTTAGTGATTATTCACAACCAAAGCTTACGGATTTTCCACATCTCACCCCTACTCCGACTCTTGATGGGGTTCAATTTGAAATTAAACCTCAATTTATAACGATGATAGAGAGGAAGCAATTCAGTGGAGCCAAGGGTGAAGCCCCGAATCTTCACATTGCCGACTATTGTCAATATTGCAACACCATCAGGCAAGCCGTGGTCACTCAAGACCAAATCAGGGAGATTCTCTTTCCCTTCTCTTTAACTGGAAAAGCTAAATTGTGGTTTAATGGCTTAAATAGAACTACACTTGGTATAACTGACTGGGAAACTCTTGTTTTGAATTTCTATAACAAGTATTATCCTGCAGAGAGAACAGCCGTACTACGGAATGCGATCCAGAACTTTGCCCAAGAAGCCGATGAATCTTTATATGAGGCTTGGGAGAGGTTCAAAGATTTACAAAGAGATTGCCCTCACTATAATTTAGCGCAATGGCAGTTAATCCAAACCTTTTATAATGGCCTTGGAAATTCTTCTCGAATAATTTTAGACTCAGTTGCTAGTGGGAGATTTATGAATCTTGATGTTGAAGATGCAGGTCAGGTTATTGAAGACATGGCGATACACAATTCCCAATACGGAACCCTAGAGGATTTGCTAACAAGGGGAAGCATAGTGTCGACTCTGTATCCTTTTTTCAAGCTCAACTAACCTCTATTTGCCAAAAATTAGATAATCTGAGCATTGCTAATGTAGCTAATGTTTCTGGATTAATAATAATTCTAATGAGGCTTTCTGTGAAAATTGTGGTATTGTAGGTCATTGGGAGCAAGATTGCAGGAGTTCCGTGGAGCAAGTTAATGTCTTCCAAGCTTATAGGCAGAATAACCCATACTCCAACACTTACAATCCTGGGTATCGGAATCATCCGTACCTATCCTACCGGAGCACTAATGTTCAAAATCCACCACCACAAGAACCACAGGCGCCAAAGCAACAGCAACAGAAATATTATCATCCCAATGCTAGCCAGAAGAACCAACCACAACACCCCTCCTCATCTTCTGACCCTTCTCTGGTGGAAATTAGAGCAATGTTGGTTAATATGCAAAAGCACATGGAGAGCAGAGATGCGACAATTGATCAAATTCTAGCGCATAATAAAATTGTAGATAATCAAATTGCGCAACTCTCCGCTACCCTACAAGCCCGCCAACAGGGAGCTCTGCCGGCACAGTCGACTAGGCCTACGGATCAAGCATTCGCAATTACTCTAAGGAGTGGTTCAATATATGAAGGTCCCTCTATGCGCGGAGTTGATAAACCTGTTTTATTAAATAATGCCAATCTTGATTCCATTAAACCAAACAATGTAGTTGATAGCCCTGCAGGGCTAAAGGATAATACTAACATATCTAATTCTACATTGCAGGGTACAACTCCAGAGAAGGTGGCTACTCCAGACAAGAGTAATAATGCTCCAAAGCCAATTATCAAACTTCCATTCCCCAATCGTCAATTGAAGACAAACTTGGATAAGCAGTTTGGTAAGTTCCTGGAGGTAGTAAAAGATTTGAAGGTAACAGTTCTCTTTACTGAATTAATCACACAAATCCCCTCATATGAAAAATTTATGAAAGAAATATTGACGAGAAAAAGGTCTATTAGTGAGGTAGAGACAGTAGCTTTCACTGCAGAGTGTAGTGCCGTACTTCAAAATAAGTCTCCACCTAAATTAAAATATCCGGGTAGTTTTTCTATACCTTGTCATATTGGCAATCTCTTGATTGATAATGCATTATGTGATTTGGGTGCTAGTGTTAGCGTCATGCCATTATCTGTGTGTTCTAAGTTGAATATGGGTAAATTAAAAGCGACCAATATAACTCTACAAATGGCCGACAGTTCTTTCAAATACCCCTTAGGTGTTTTAGAGGATGTCCCCGTTAGAGTAGGTAAATTTTATATACCTGTAGATTTTGTTGTTCTTGATATGGATGAGGATATGCAAACCCCAATTATTTTGGGTAGACCATTCCTTAACACTGTAGGAGCAGTCATAGATGTAAGAAGTGGTAAGTTAACATTATCAGTAGGGGATGATAAAGTTGTTTTTAATCTGAATAGTGCCCCTAAAATCTCCATGACTGAGGAGAAATGTTTCAGTGTTAATGTGGTTGAAAATTATTCTAACAAGCCCCAAGCTCTTGAAAGAAGATCCCTTGGCGGCGGTATCTTGTGTTGCATCCTTTTCAGATGAGATAGACAAATGGAAGAAGGAAGTCGATGCAATAGAAAGAGCACTCTACAATGTTGGTCTTGGTTTCGAGGATGAACAGGTGGAATCGATCGAGAAAGTTGTGCGAATCGAGCCTACGGTAAGTGTTCCGTCAGATCGAGTTGCAAGTGTTACATGCAAGAAAAATTTGAAGCAATCCTCGATCAAAGAAGGACTTTAGTGCGTAGCATTGAAGATCCACCATTCCAAGTCAAGGAGGATCCACAGGGTATGTCAGGAAGCCGCATCGCAGCCTGAACACCACTAGACCGGGTGAGAAACCACCTAATCAAGCGTTAGGCCAAGGGTCCTAGATATTGTACTTGGTAAGAAGGTCATGCGGGAACTAGATAAACCAGCGCTTTGCGGGAGGCAACCCGTATTTTCAATGCTTTTTAGACTAGTTTTTATTTCCTTTTTCCTTATGAGAGGAGAGATGAGGGAATTTAATGAGTCTTATGAGTGTTTGTACAGGTTTTAAGAAAAGAGTTAGCCAAATTTTGGAGATAAGTATAAAATGATAATTAGACGATTTAGCCTCGGGCCCGATCGGGCGAAGCTCGCCCGACCGGGCGCGAGAGCAAGGTCTAAAAATAGAGTAATTTATCCCGACCGGGCGCGAAACTTGTCGTTTACGGACTAAATTATCCGCCCGATCAGGCAAGCCTCGCCCGGCCGGGCGCAAGAAGGGTGAAATTTTAGAGCTACAGATCGCCCGATCGGGCGAACGGCGCCCGACCGGGCGCGAGAATTGGTCAAAATCGGATTGAAAGATCGCCCGACCGGGCGAACTCTGCCCGACCGGGCGAACTCCGCCCGACCGGGCGAACTCCGCCCGACCGGGCGCGAGAGCCAGCCCAATATTCATGATTAGATCGCCCGACCGGGCGAGCTGGTGCCCGACCGGGCGCGAGCCTTACCCGTGCCTTTTTCTTCTTCTTTCTTCACCTTTTCTCATTCTTTCTTCTTTCTCCATTACTTTCTCTCTCTAAAACTCAAATTCTCTCTACCTTCTCTCTAAGATTTCTCCTCCATTTCTTACCCAAATTCAAAACTCTTTACATATTTGTGATCCTCTCTTCATCCTCTACACTTTCATATAAAAATTCTTCAGATTTAGTTCAATAAATTTTTAAACCCATTTCCTAACATGGCTTCAAAGAGGGCTAGGTCCATTTTCGGTAGGAGCTCCAGTTCGAGGTAGGAATACAACCCGGACTTGCAACTCCCGTACTGGCCGACGATCCGGATTGTGAGCCGAGAGAAAAAGGAACGGCTAGAGCACTTAATCGGTCGTGAGGTAATTCCTTCTCGGTGGTTACACCGCCCTACCCTAGAATCATTTGGTTTGTATGATTTTGTAAAACGATTTTGAATGACATTGGCATGAGAAAATTTGTTGATATGCACTATCCTACATACTGAGAACTTACTTGTGAATTCCTGTCCACTTTCCATGTTGTTAGTAGTAAAAATGGGCCAAATTTATTTTTCAGGTTAAACAATAGAAATATTAGTCTAACTTTTGTAGAATTTTGTAAAATTTTTGAATTAAATTCTGAATTATCTCACCAGTGGCATGCAGACTATAAAATGGGTGACTTATATTATTCTTTGACTGGTTTGCCTACCCCCGACCCCCAACATGCTAGTACCAAACCTATTCACCAACCTGTCCCAAAAATCTGGCAAAGATTTGCGGGATTGTGTTTTTTAGGTAGGGCCGAGCCCCATAATGCTCAGTCTAACGAACTAGCTGTCATAGGACACTATGTGTACGGGTACGGGAAATTGAACATAGGTAGGTTTATAGTTCACCATTTGAGTAGGCATGCCACAGCCAGCACCACATCCAAGACCTCTATCCGTTTAGGTGGCCTTATCACTCGAATAGCAGTGAAAAAGGCCGATTTTGTAGTAAACGGACCCCACCAGCTGACCAACTGTGGACCAAATACCTATATGACTGCTAGGTATTTTGAGGATGTGGGGTGGGTTAGACCGGATAGCGAGCAGACACCCTTTTGTTGTATTCGGACTGGGAGCGAGCAACCTTTGCCCATTTTTCCCCTACCCAGTCCTGACTTGACCGCCTTTCCCCCAGGGCAACCTTCTTACACTTATGATGTTTTGGTTGCCAACGCTAGGGGGCAGGCACCACCACCACCAGTTCCACCACCCCAGCCTCAACCCGAGGTGGCTTTCTCTCCACCTCGTATGTCCCACTCCGTCCCTCATGTTGACTCTGACCCAGTTTGGGATCTTCAGAGTATAGGTCAGGCCCTAGGACGTACCGAGCATTCCCATACTGACCTTAAGAGGATGGTAGGCTCCTTAGACCAGAGGTTAGGGTACATAGAACGGAACCAGGGTAGAGCTCTCTACCCTATGTACAATGATTATGCTCGTCGGGGCAACATTCCCGACGACGCTATTCACCCTGACTGGTTTCAGCCTCCACCCCAGGGATACGATAGGGATCCCACTGCCCGTGGTATTTACACTGACTATTCTTCTTTCTTCGGGTACGGCCAGGACATTCCTTTCGAGGGACCAGCGGGGGGAGGGAGTTTTCACGCTGATTATTTTGGTGGTAGCTCTTCTGGGGCAGGTGGTGCAGGTGGCAGTGGAGGTGCGGGTTTCGGCTCGATGGATGAGGATCATCAGGACTAGCTATGCTGGGCTAGTTCCCGAGCCAATGAGGACATTGTCTGATTCTGGCTTGGGGGAGATTTTGGTTTGGTATTTTTCTTTTTCTCTTTTCTTTTATTTTTGGTGTGTTTTCTTAGGTTAGATTTCTTGCTTTCTAGGTTAGTTTTAATGCTTTCTTATATATATATAAAAATACAAAAAAAATTTAAAAATACGTTCCAATGAATTGTAAATTATGCTTCCCTATGCCCCTACTTGAGAAAATTGTTTTGATTCTTGGTATTTGATGATAAGCATTGTGGATTAGTTGATCATGATTTGATGTTTGATTGCCTTGAAATCTTAGCATGCGTCAATTTTGTCCAACTACTTGTGAATATAGTGCTTGACTAGTTGATTTGGTAAGGAATGTGTGATAGTTCCATAGTTCCTGGTATGTCAATGAATTTGAGTATTGGTTTGCAACTATTAGTAATATTTATATGATTCATTATTATGCACATTGTGGTGGACGAAGGCATTTGTTCTTTTAGGTAGCCTCCAGATATTGTAGATACATTTGTTCCCTTCTTGCTACCCATGTTGTTGCCTTGACCTTTTGTTGTTTATTAGCCGCATTACAAGCCTATTTTGCCCCATTGGTTACTAGTCACAAGCTTGGCTTGGGGGAGCTATTAGTGAGTGAGGTGAGGGAGTTTGTGGTGTGCTTATTATTTGCATAACTTGGGTGGGTTTTTGAGAAGTTGTTTTGTTGTTGATCATGTTTATTTTTGATGAGTTTGAGAGTTATATTTTCTTGAAAAAATAAAGCATGATATTATGAAGAAAAAAAAAAGAGAGAAGTTCAAGAAAAAAAATGTGAAAAAATAAGTGAACTTCAAAAGAAAAAAAATGTTCAAATGTTCTAGTTGGAGGTTGATAAAAAAAATAATAATAATTTTGAACCTCAATGAAAAATTCAAGTTTGGAAAATAAAGTTTGTTTATTCACTCTACTTCTTCATTATTATATCTTATGAGTGAAATTGTAAGAAGTTGGGTTTATTCATTATGATTGGAGTATATTTGGTTGATGTTGGAATTGGTTATGTAGGAGATGTATGATCATTAGTTATTTTGATCATGGGTTTTATTAGGATATGGCTCCTTTAAGCATAGCTTTTCTCTCACTTATTCCCAAATTTATCCTACCCTTTACCCTAGCCTTACATTACAAGCTTTAAAGACCTTCTGACCTTTGTGCATAGAATTGTATGAATGTGAAAGTGTTGTTTATCAATACAAGTTATGATTTGGCATATTTCGAGTCGACTAGTAGGATTGAGCGTTCATTGTTTTATACACACGAGAGTGTGAGTTGGGAGGGCATTGTTCACATAAAGGGGGTTAGATGGAGAGCGATCGAGTACATCTTTTACTCGCCACATAAATGAGAGTTGAGTGTGTGAGCACTAGTATTGAATTCTATATGCTCTTGTGGTTTGCTCTATTTGACAATTATTAGGGAAGACTGGTAATTGAATGGATTTGATTGGTTGACTTTGAAGCATGTTTATTTGATTTACCCTGGAACGTTTGTGCTTGATTTTTACTTTTTGGGGTGAAGCATATTTATTGATTTATTTATGAGATCTTTGCTTAGGGACAAGCAAAGGTTTGGCTTGGGGGAGTTTGATGTGTCTATTTTATACAGTATTTTACCCCCGTCCCTTGGTCATAATTAGTAGTGTTTTTGGCTCTTTAGAGCCACTTTTATTACTAATTGGTGTTTTCTAGTGTTTTCGTAGATTTGGTTGACTTTTGCAGGGATTTATGCTTTTGGAGTATTTTCCCGAGATATTTTGGAGCAATCACGAACATTGGAGAAGCACGACCAGATTCTATAGCCCAGGGCCGATTAGAGCCATCGAAATGGTGATTAAGGGCTCGGTATAGGTGATATCGGGGCATTTGGACCGAGTATTCAAGACCGGAAGAGGAAACCCAGATTGGCCCGAAGAATTGGAGCCCAATCGTAGTCCAAATAGTGTCCCAAATGAGCCGCCCGGCCAAAGAGGCTAGCGCCCGGAGGCGCGCCCGGCCAGGCGGGAGAAGCTTAGGTTGGCGCCCGGTGACGCGCCCGGCCGGGCGCGAGATTATTATTATGAGCAAAAAAACGCGCCCGATCGGGCGCGTGTATGTCTTATGAGACGATTAGCGTCGTTTTAATTTGTTTTAGTTTAGGATTTTGTACGGAGTATAAATACTCCTCCGTAATACGATTTTAGCATTCCTTCTTCTCTCTTTATACTCTTTCTTTACTCTCTTAATTGTTCAGCTCTTAGATTTTCTTTCTCAAAAACCTTTGTTCTTAATTCTACTCTTAATTCCAGATTTATTTTGGTAACGATTTCTCTTCTCTTAATCTTAGTTATTTACTTTATTCTTTTTATCATGTCTGGCTTTATTGCTTTGATTAGTTTAATTTTCACTATGTGTGAGTAGTTTACTTTCTAGGGTTTGTGGGGATCCATAAATAATATGAAGGGGTAATTTATTGTTGTTAATTACCAATGCTAGATTAATTTCCTATTGATTGAATTAATGCTCTGTGACTAGATTAGGCCTGATCTTTTATGCATGAGTTTAACAATATTGATTCGAGATTCGACAGATGAGAATTAATGTTTAGGTCTAGTTTCAATAGGCAGGTTAATTTATAAATGGTTAATTCGAGATTCGAAAGATGAGATTTAATATCGGTAAATTAATTGTGTGATTATAATACGCAGCAAAAGCCCTTTATAATCTGATTGATGTATGCATTGATGAATGATTATTATATTCTACCCTGGAATATTATTTATTGGTGAACCTATGCCCTAGATCCTTTCATATATTGTTTTCTCCCTATTCTTAACTTTCGTAGTTTAGTTTCATATTCAACTTATATATTGGTTACCTAATAATCTAGATTATTTTAGTTAATTAGGAATAGAAAGACTCGTTTCTCTATGGATTCGACCCTACTTCCCTATCTACATTAGTTAGAGGATATAGGTATTACTTTTGATTTGGGGATACGACTTTACCCTGTCAGCCGCATTTAATACATGACTAACAAAGTATATCGGCATTTGCTGCTTCTTCCTCTCCACTACTAACACTGCAGCTATTGTCTTTGGAGACGCTGAGATGTATAATTGCATTTGTTCCCCCCTTTCCGGCCTTGCAACTGTTGGGAGAGATTTCAAATGATTTCGTACCACCTCTAGCGCGTCCCGCTGTTCTTTTCCCCATTCAAACACCTTGTTCTTCCGTAGAACCACAAAAAAGGGAAGTGCCTTATCAGCTGATTTGCTGATAAAACGAGTTAACCCTGCCATTCGGCCAGTCAATCTTTGTATATCTTGGATTGTCTTTGGCTGCTTTATCTCAAGCACCGCATTCACCTTATCAGGATTTGCATCTATTCCCCGTTCGTTAACCATGAAGCCTAAAAACTTCCCTGATCGGACTCCAAATACACACTTCTCGGGATTCAATTTCATCTTATATTTTCGTAAAGTTTCAAATGTCTCCCTCAAATCTGCTATGTGATCCTTCTTTTTCTTACTTTTAACAATTGTGTCATCCACATACACCTCCACATTCTGGCCCTTTTGCCTATCAAAAATCTTGTCAACCAACTTCTGATATGTTGCCCCAGCATTCTTTAACCCAAACGGCATGGCTTTATAGCAAAATACCCCAGCATCCGTTATGAAGGCCGTTTTCGGTCTGTCGGCTTTATGAAGGCTGACCTGATGATACCCTGAAAACGCATCTAAAAAGCTGAGCATCTCGTGACCAGAAGTAGAATCCACCAGTCTGTCTATCCGGGGCAATGGATAACAATCCTTAGGACAAGCCTTATTCAAATCGGTTAAGTCGACACACATTCGCCATTTTCCTGTCGGCTTTCTTACCATAACAACATTTGCCAACCACTCTGGATATGTGCACGGTTCAATAAAACCCGCCGCTAAGAGCTTGTTAACTTCAGCCTGTATAGCTTCTATCTTCCCAGTAGAGAAGTTCCGCTTTTTCTGTCTTACCGGCCTGAACCCCCTGTTGACATTCAATTTATGCTCCATCACCCCCGGGTGTATTCCTGGCATTTCACTCGCCGAGAAAGCAAAGACATCTGCATTTTCGCGCAGCAGGCTTATCAGATTACACCTCATGTCAACATCCATATCGGCTCCAACCCTAACCGTTCTGCTGGAGTCACCTGGCTGCAACTCAACCTGCACCGTTTCCCCTCCTAGTAATGGTCTCGGAGCTGTTTCCGGCCTTGTATCAAAGTTACCCATGGATAAGTCACGTACTGTGGGCTCCAGCTCCTTTTTAGGATTACTCGGTACTGAACCATCTCCGACCGGATTCTTCAAAGCCGTTAAATAACAAGACTTCGCCATAACTTGCCCCCCATGAACCTTTTCTACAGCTCCCAAATTTGACACATAAGCTATCGTCAAATGGTATGTTGACACAACAGCTTGGATATCATGAATTATCGGCCTTCCAATGATCGCATTATAAGCCGATGGAACAATAACTACCAAAAACTCTGCCATCACATCTCTCGTTGTAGGCCCATCACCCAGTCGTACCGGCAAGACTATGCTCCCCTCTGGTCGTACTGAAGACCCATTAAATCCAATAACTGGGTACGATACCGGCGTCAGGTATTGCCTTCCTATCACCATCTCATTAAAGGCCTTCATAAAAAGAACATTAGCTGAACTTCCTCCATCTACTAGAACTCTTTTTATGTCAGCTCCGTTAATCTTTGTTATCAGCACCAGCGGATCATCATGCGGAAAGACTATCCCCCTTGTATCCTCTTCAGTGAATACAACATCAGGGATCGAAGTTGGCCTGGGGCGGCTATCGGTATCCAGGGCATTAATTATATGGCGGTGCTCTGATAAGTGCTTCTTTGCTCCACTAATAGTCCCTCCATGCACCGGCTCTCCGGTTATCACATCAACTCCTCTTCCCGTTGATAACGGCGGCATTCCTCCACCTCCCTGTCGGATCACACTACCCTGTGGCCTTTCTGGCCTTACTTCAAGTTGTTGCCTTTCAATTTGTCGGGGTGGCGGCTGGCTTCCACACGCATTTAGCCGGTATTGAGCTAAGTGACCCTTTCTTATCAGTTCTTCTATATTATCTTTCAATTGCGTACATTCCTCTGTATAGTGACCCACATCTCTATGATACATTTAGTATTTCTTAGCATCCCTTGGTTCGCTTTCATCGGAATCGGCCTCACCCATCCTTCCCTATTCTGATTCACCGAGTAAATTGCCGCCCTTGGTGTATTAAGGGGGGTATACGAACTGTATCGCATTGGCAGTTTTGCTGCCCTTGCCTCCTGCCGATTTCCACCCCTTATCGGGGCTGGAACTCTCGATCTCACACTTCCTGAGGCCACTCCCTCAGCCTGATACCTTCCAGTCGGTATACTTTTGCTGCTTGTCTTCATCAACTCTTCAATTTTAATGTAATCATGTTCCTTGTTAAAGGCGGCTGCTAACGTAGGAAAATTCTTTCTTGTGAGATAACGCTTGAACTCAGAATCATTCAAGCCATTACAGCTATTTCCTGTTGCAATTTTGGGATTGTGTTCGCCTCATTATTAAACCATCTTGATTAGGGGATTTTTATCCACCAATCACCGTCAGACAAGTGGACCAACCAGGTTCCGCCACGTTTCCTTCACGAATGCCAACGGGAGCCTGCCACGTGTCAATCACAGATACGTCCTCTACGGACCAATTAAGACACGCCACGTGTCCACTCATGCCAAATGGGAAAACCGGCCATCAAGGCCCAATCCAGTTTAGAGGCCCGATCAGCCCTAGGTTTACTTTAAACCTAGAGAGTTGCACTCTTCTCAAGGCTATAAATACTTAATTAATCCTCATTAGTTAGGTAATCGAACAAATCAAAAGAACTCAAGCAGAGAAGAACAGAGTGATTACGGAACATCGACAACTGGCTAATCTCGCTAACGACGCAGATTACCAACACTAAGCACTCTCACCTAGAGAGATCTTATTACTTTAATTTCCGTATTAATTACTCCTTAATCAGGTACTAACTTGACCGTTGGAGGCGGAGCTCTCAGGAGTCTCCGTTATTTTGCAGGTACAGGCGTCCGGTTCCAGTCTCGGAATTGTAACTCTCCCGCAGGACATCAGAAAACCCCGAAACATTTGGCGCCGTCTGTGGGGAGAGTACTTCAGAGATGGCATCCAAGTCTGTACCGACTCCAGAAGAGAGGCGTCCCCTAGACGACCCTCAAGTTCAGTCGGACCATGATACCGAAAGTGAATTTGAAGTTGAAACTCATACAGCTCCAGACGGGACCCTAAGGGCCCGACGTACCCGTCATACCGAAAGGAGGGAACGGGAGCATCTTCAAACAGGAAGCGAGCCAGCAGGCGCACCGCTTGCTCGGCAACAGCCGACTGATGGGTCTGCTCCCATCACAAGGAACGAACTCATGACCTTCATGAGGGACTTCAAGGGAGAGATCCAAGAGTTGATTAACAAAAAACCGCCTGCTTCAGTCAAAGAGCAGTCGGCCAAGAAACCTTCCACTTCACTGAAGAGGAAGCCAGTTCAAGGGCGAGAGGCGACTCCCCATCCTAAATCCAAGAAGCGGGAGCCACCTGCTCTTGATTTCACAAAACTCCGTTATCCTACGGGAAATAGGAAACCGGTTCGTCATATTCAGGCGGACGGGTCAAAGCAAACGTTCACAGATGCTCGGCACCTGCTAGAGCAGAAGAAGAGTGACCGATTATCAGAGTCGGCTTCTACTTCAAATTTTCAGGACAGTTTGCGAAATGCCTCGATGAGGCATACTCAGTCGTACCATGAGAGTCAGTCAGGCGGCACCTCCCGTCAGTCCGGCTTTCATAGTGCCCAGGCGGTACCAAACTTACCATTTGTGCCGCAACAACAGTATTTTATGCAGCCACCTCCATTTGGTGGACCTGCAGCAAAAAACGTCCAACCTATGGACTGGCAGCTACGGCTGCTTAGACTTGGTGAACAGCCGTCGGCCTTCTCCAAGGAAATTACTGAAGTCGCTCAGCCGGCCAAAGTAAAAAATGTTCTAGTAGGCGCCTATGACGGCACTACTAACCCAGAAGACCATCTGATGGCATTCACCAACCTGATGTACCTTCAAGGGTTGGATGATCCCACTTGGTGCAAGTGTTTCCCAGCGACTCTCAAGGGAATTGCACAGCAATGGTTCGGCAACCTGCCGACTGGTTGTGTAAACAGCTTCAGGACGCTTGCTTACTTATTTGCCTCCAACTTCGCTATGAACATCCCTGCGAAGAAAACGACCCTTGATTTGGGAACAATTCAGCAGGGCGAGAAGGAGGGGCTTCGTTCTTACATCAGGCGGTTCAACCTGATGAGAATACAGATTCAAGGGTTACCGGATGAGGTAGCTTATACTGACTTTTTTAGAGGTCTCAAAGACGGGTCTACCTTCAAATTTGATTTAGTTCGAAAAAGGGTGGCGACTCTTCAAGAGGCCTTGATTGAAGCAGAAGCCTATATACAGGCGACTGATCTGTGTACGATAAAACAGTCGGACGGGAAGAGGTTCGACAAAAGAGAGGGCCGACAGAAACAGTCGTCCAACAAAGATGAGAAAAGAAAAGAGGTCTGGGCGGCTGACTCCTCTAAACAGCCGGCCCAGAAAAAGAAAAAAGAATTCAAACCATACTCCCCAAAGTATGTGTTTAACAAGGATAACCAGTTTATCCTAAAAGAAATAAAGGGACGATTCTCAATTGAGAAGCCGCTCCCCATGAAGGGTTCTGCGAGCAACCGGAACCAAGACAAAATCTGTGCTTATCATGATGACGTTGGTCATCACACCAATGACTGCATCAGTCTCATGCGGTACCTAGACCGCTTGGTTGATCAAGGTGATCTTGACACTTATGTCAAGAAATCTACGGGGAACACTTCCTCAAAAAAGCAGTCGGCCAAAAAGAATCAACAGGCCGACAGTTCCGATACAGATGATGCAGTCGTCTACACCATTGCAGGCGGCTTCTCAGGAGGCGGCCCCACTATTAGGGGCAACAAAGATAATATAAGGCGGTTAGATGTAAACTCCGTTCACCAAGAACGGCCGTCCAAATATACATTTCCTGAGATTGTCATCACTGAAGAGGATCTAGGAGGAATAAGGGGGCCGCATGACGACCCTCTCGTTATTGAATGTAAAGTGGCCAACCAGAGAGTTGGCCGAATCCTCATAGATACCGGGAGTTCCTCAGATCTCAACAGCAGCAAATGTCTGTCAAAACTAAAATATCAGACGGACTGCATACATCCGGCCTCCCACCCTTTAATAGGGTTTGGAGGAGGAGTCGTCCACCCACTGGGACGAGTAGATCTACCCATTCGCCTGGGCGAAAAAGGGGAAGGACGACACATGGTAGTCCGGTTCCTAGTAGTAGAGGAACTCTCGGCCTACAACATGATTCTGGGTCGACCAACCCTGAATAATTCCAAGGCTGTTATAATCCCGTCACTTATGCTGCTTAAGTTTGAAAGGGATAATGGAACAGTCGGCTCCCTGAGGGGAGATCAGAGGATGGCCCGAGAGTGCTATCTCTCGGATGTCAAGCCCACTGTTATGGCTACTGGGTCAAGTGGAGAAAAAACAGACCTTGACAATGTCAAGGAGAGTACGCCTGTTCAAGAAACAGGCGACAATAAGAGAAAGGCGTCCCAGACAGAGTTCGCAAGAAAAGCAAGAAAATAGCAATCATTGGCAGAGGAGCGGCCGGATGAGTTCCGCCCTCAGCCGGCTGGTGAGCATGCGGACCTGATCTTAGACGACTCACGTCCTGACCGAACAGTCAAAGTTGGGACGACTGCTCTGAGAAACCTTGGTGACGACTTTCACAATCTGTTGAAAGAATACAAGGACATCTTTGCATTTGAAGTCCATGAAATGCCAGGCATTAGTCCTGATCTGGCAGTACATAAACTCGCTGTGGATCCGAAAAAGAAGCCGGTACGGCAAAAGAAGCGGAACCATGGTGAAGAAAGAGGTCAGGCGGCAGCCGCCGAAGTCAAAAAATTACTTGATGCAGGGTTCATTCGGCAATGTTACTTCCCAGATTGGGTTGCAAATGTGGTGCTTGTTAAAAAGCCGAATGGCACCTGGCGAATGTGTGTAGACTACACAGACTTGAACAAGGCGTGCCCCAAAGACAGTTACCCTCTGCCTAAAATTGATAACCTGGTCGACTCAACAGCCGGCCATGCCTTGATGAGTTTTATGGACGCTTATTCTGGTTTCCATCAAATTCCTTTATGGAAGAAAGATCAGGAGAAGACGGCCTTCGTCACTGATCAGGGATTGTACTGTTACATGGTCATGCCGTTTGGTCTTAAGAATGCCCCGGCTACCTTCCAACGAATGATAAACACAGTGTTCTTTGATCAGATTGGGAGAAACGTCGAGGCATATATTGATGATATGATTGTCAAGACTAAACTTCAGAAAGATCATCTGACGGACCTCCGAGAAACTTTCGTCACACTCAGGCGGCACCATGTCATGCTCAATCCCAAGAAATGTGTATTTGGAGTTGAGTCTGGGAAATTTCTCGGATTCCTTATCAATCAGAGAGGAATAGAGGCGAACCCTGAGAAGGTACAGGCGGTCATTGACATGCAGTCGCCTCGTACCGTCCGAGAGGTTCAGAAGTTAACGGGTTGTCTGGCGGCCTTGGGGAGATTCCTAAGCCGATCAGGCGACAAATGCCTATACTTTTTCCAGGCAATTAAGAAAAAGGCAAGGTTCGAATGGGGGCTGGATGCTGAGGCCGCCTTCCAGAAATTAAAGGTTCACTTGCATTCCTTGCCGAGGCTAGTCAGCCCTTTGCCCAAAGAAGATCTCTACATGTACCTGGCCGTCTCTGATCATGCGTTAAGCGCTGTGCTTCTTGCTGAAAGGGACGGCTGTCAGCTCCCGGTCTACTTTGTCAGTCACGTACTGAAAAATGCCGAGTTGAGGTATCCCCTAGTGGAGAAATTTGGTCTTGCACTCTTCATGGCTGTTAAAAAATTGAAGCCCTACTTTTTGGCACATGCAGTCGTCGTGTATACCGACCAACCAATCAAGCGGCCCCTTACCATCATGGAGTCGTCAGGACGAATGATCAAATGG